CCCCAAAACCCCAAAACCCCAAAACCCCAAACTGGATTAAAGGAATTGAATTTGGAAGATTACTTTAGCTCTCTAGATTTGACCTTAACAATCCTCTTCTCTTTGTAAAGCTCTTCCTTTAGTATGTCAAATTCTCTGATTATTCTCGTCTGATTAGCTTGTTTTATGGTGTTTAAGAGCCTGTTGGAGGTCCTGCTTGGTGATAAGTGAGCAATGGATATTTCCATTTTAGGCTACAGGTTAATATAAAAATACCTCTTTTCCAATCATCTTTGACCGTTCAAGGATGTTTCGGAAGGTATACTTTTCCTTTTGCTTCTCAAGCACTGAAATTATGTTATTTTGACGACGGATCTCTGATTTCTCTTTAAGGTCAGATAGATAATCTGTATTCCAATTGGGTAACTTCTTCATTGAACTTGCCTTGTTCATCATAAGTTTCTTTTTAGTAGAAGGCCTATTCTGGTCAGCTGCCTCTAACAGATCTATTTGGTTAACCTAAGGCATTACTATTAAGATAAAACCCGAAGCTTGTAGTCTTCTTGGCTGCTTTCCTGCCATTCACAGTGGTGAACTGCTTGTTGATTGATTTATTTCTGCTTTTCTAGAGAAATGTTAGGTAATCCTATGGAATTCTTACAGGGGCTGTAGTCCTGGCTCTTCTGCTTCCACTTCTATTCCTAGATTTTGCATCAGGCTGAACCATGTGAGTAATATTGAAATTATTTATCTTCCGGCTTTGAGGCTGATCTGATTTCTCTTCTTTTTCATTTTGGTTAATCCTTGGTGAAGGTAAGTCTAAATTTGGGAAAGTGTAGCTTACCTTGCGGGTCTATTTGAGAAACTGGGGTGTCTGCTCTAATGTATTGCTTCTTAATATTCTCATTATTGCTCCAGTCAATTTTTTGAGGAGCTATGAGGTTTGAAGAAAAAGAGCTTACCTGATTTTATCTTTGGTGATCGAGGAGATAAAATAGATAGCTTCCTATCATTCTTAGTTAAGCCTAATTTTTGTGTTTTATTTTTCTCCATCTCAAGAACCTGCTTTGTTATAGAAAGAACTCACTATCTTTTTAGAAAACTGCATGGTTGGTTTTAATATCTTTTGAAGCCTACGATTTAAAGAAAGTAATTACTTCCTTGATGATTTTGCGCTGATTAAAGTAGATCTTCTCTGCATGCTAAGTCCTTGGAGGATATCTGAACTTTTCGGGCTGAATATAACTGCGTCACTCTCAGTATCACTAATACTTTTCTTCTTCATATTAAGATTCAGTGCAGAAACTCCTAGTTTCAGATTTTTCTCCAGCTTATTGATCAGCTTAGTAGATTCCATGGCTATTAAATCTTAGCTATAACTATACCTAGAGCTTTGGATAGAGCTTTGTATCCTGCTATTTTCTTAACCCCCTGAAAGAATTTTGAAATGGGGTCGAACTCATCTAAAATTATCAACCATATTACCACCAAGAGAGTCGTAATGTGTGGCATCTATCCTTTTTGGTAGCTTGAGCAAAGAAGGATCCGTGGTTTTCTCGTCAAGATCTCTTTCCTTTTCTTTCTGAGCAAGCTTTTTCTTGAGATTTTCTTCACAAAGATTCCTAACATATGAAGTTTTGCTTTCAATATATCCAGTGCTAGATAAAGTGTGGTAATATCTTCATTTTTCTAGATTTCTGAGGTAATAATAACTTGTAGCAAGGTTTTGATATGCTAGAGAGTTTATAGTAAGCTACATACCTTGCATTTCCCACTCAAGGCTATCATGAAGCCATGCGTACTGAAGAACCTTATTTGAATGCTACAATTGCCTTAGGGTAATCTCTAAGGTGTTGGTATCATATTCCAATATTCTTCAAGATATTCCTAAGACTTTAGTTCAAAGAATTACATGATCATTTTGACTTCTCTAGGGTGTTCTCAAAGGGTCCTCATGGACTCAAAATATTTAATAGCTTGTTTCCAATCTCTTCCCATACATATCATCCCAAATAGACCATTTCACTAGAAGTAATTAAGAGGTCTTACCAGCTTGAGAAGTTGAAGTTCTGGGACTCTTGAAGCAAACTCAAGGATTTGTGTGACTGAGTAAAGTGTTTTATTTTCTTTCATGTGTGACTCAGTATTGCAACTTTGCTGCACGTAAATAGTTAAGCATTGCTTCTATCAGTTGATTGCACTCCTTCTGACTTGGTTCAATATATTCTGGGGTAGGTTTATATGTCTCAATTTTCTTAACTTTTTGTTGAAGCCTAATCAAGGTGTGTAAATTATTCCAAAAATTCAGAGTTATTTACTTACGACATTTGAAAAATAAAATATTATTTAAACTTGGGGTTTTGGGGTTTTGGGGTTTTGGGG